TCATAGAGATTCAAGCTTGTTGATCTGTCGGTTTGTTATTTATAAATTTAAAAAAAAGTTCAGCATAAAAATTATAAATTAAATCATAAATTTGATACTTGACGTTATAAATATTTTTATGTTCAGGATAAAGATGATGATGAAATTGTTTTGTAATCTTTTTCAATCTTTAAAAGCATATTTTTCATTCCTTCCCTCATTTATTATTTTCATCATTACTCGTTGAGTCAGGGGTAAAATATTTGCTCAGACAACAAAAAAGAAAGCAAGGAAAATGTCTCATCATTTGATTTAACGAGTGAAGAGTTTATATTTCGCATTTTCCACTTATTAATACTTTTCGCTTCCCTTTTTATCGTTCTGGAATTATTCATGAAACTTGCACAAATGGAAACTCAAGGCATTATCTTTCTGTTTGCACTTGAAGAGTCATCATCATGAGCTTCTCCTATTTAAATACTTATATCAATGGCAAAGGTAATAAATGAGTGCAGACTCCATTTTGAGTCTGACTTCAATGTGCATTATGAAAATAATTTCAAAGCACTAGATATAATGAATTTTCTATTACAAAAAGTTCGATTGAAAGTCGATTTTGTTTGCATAAAAAATCTTTCTTTCTTTCTCAAAAGATAAACATGTAAAGCATAAGAAGAAAGAAAAAAAACATGCAAATCATTCGACTCTCGTTTCATTTGAAATTTCATATTTTTGCACAATAATTTGTCATCATCAATTTTATATTCTCGAATAACTTTGAATCTATTATATAAAAGTTATACATTTTTTCGCTATGTTGATTTTTCTTCTCGTTCTGTTGACGGATTCATGAATTTTGAGCACCTTTAACGGTGCTCGACGGTAGAATGTTGGTAAAGGAGATTCGAAGAGCGTATGAAAAATGTATTCAAACGGAAGCAGTTACAACTATAATTACCTGCAGCAATCTCTCGAACTAATTCCTTTCTTTCTCTAAGGCTGCAATCATCGAAGTCGCTATTGTTCATCAAACAAGCACCAAAGTCTCGAGAAAATCCTCAAAACATTTCAATTGTTCGTATTATTGTTGTCTACAGCTTATTTATCTTGATTTTCAAGATGAAATTTCTCGTAAAATTAGCTGAGAATATGTCATTTCGAAAGGATACAACCGCAAGCGATAAAAACGTTTCGATGACAAAACGACAAAACGAATTGTGCAATAATAAAGAAGACGAAGAGATCTGACGAATAGGAAAAGCAGAAAAAAGCAAACAGCAAATAAAAGAAAAATAGACGTTGAAAAGCACCTACTTGAAGACATAATGATCTTAAGATTAAATCTTTACTAGCTGAGAGCGATTTACACGAAACAAAACAGAAGTTTCAATTCTTTTCTTGAAAGATTTAATTTTTCGAGAGTGAGAAGGAAAAGAAGTGAAATGAAAAAGTGTCGGCAAATATCACATTTCACAAAGGCTTTAGAAAGAGAATTTGTGTTCCACTCACAATTACGGGGTCTGCCTTAGGTCACTCTTTTATTTATTCCGCGCGATCAAATCACGATATCTTTTCAATATCTAAATATGCTTAACAGAAGCATATCAATTTCATTAGCCATTTGAAGTATTTTCGCAAATTTCTGTGCACATTTCATGTTGTGATGATGGACATTTGAATATGAGTTGGCTATTTAAGAGTTCTTCATTGTTTTCTATTTTTATATCTTCATTTCCTTTGTTTTTTTTCCAACTTGTTCTCAATAAACTTAATTAAATGTTATGTTTGAAGCAAAAAAAAAATATAAAAATAGAACATCCTGCGCTTATTGTGATCTGCAAACAACACTAGAGTCTGTGCAGCGAGAAATAATTAGATTTACGAAGCAATACATTTAGAAAAGAAGAGAAAAAAGGAATTTATGATTGGCATATCCTTTGTAAAATTTATGAGAGCATTTAATTTGCTTTTATGAGGAAATTCGCCATTAGAATGGGGATCATTAAAACGCCTTTTTTATGATTTAATTAAGTAGATATTTAATTATATAAATCGTGATTTTCATGATTTTTCATTCAATTCAATCAAATTTCCATCAAATTTAAAATATTTTTTATCATGTCTTTATTGTGTTGACCCTCATAGCAACAGATTTAATCGTGTGTAATGTCGGTACACATGAATTGCATTTTTAATCAGAATTTTACTTATTTTTTCACATTTCATGTTTGAGTTGAAATAATCCTTTCTCCTGTTGTTTATATAAAGTTTTAATGACTTTTTATATTTAAATGATGTTTTATTATTTGCTTCACGTTTGGAAAGCACACTTTTTTTACGTAAAAGATATTTGAAGTTTGTTATGAAACTGCAATGAGAAAAGTTTTGATATTTTGCTATTTTTTTAATAACTTTCTGATTTATGCGATTTTTATCACTGAAATGTTCCTTTCAAAGGATAGGAGAAGCAAAAGTTTATTAATTTCATTTGAAGACTGTAAAATATTTGAAACGAGTGTGAAAAGTTGATCCATAAAATATTTCATTTCAACATTCGTACTAATCCAAATAAACCCGATAAATGTAAGTTCAGTAAATAAAAGTTTTCAAAATTCAGAGATTCAGTGAAATTTTTTTTCAACTCATTCTAATCAACTTTATAAAATCTTCTGCTCAATTTTCTGAATGAATAAAGTTCTGACTCTTGTTTAAATCAATGAAAGGAAAAAATATATGTATAATGAACACTTTTGCCACGGTAATTACTGATTGAGTGACTGACTGCTCAGAAAGGGAAGCTTGTGTTTAATAATTGTTTGTACAACTCAAATAAACCGTCAATGAATGATTTCCACACACAGTAAAAAATAAAAATGAAAACAACAAAAACCCAGAAGCATCATAAATTCATCAGTTTGATGTTGTTTCTTCTTACTTTCGAGTTTTTCCAGCCGTATGCAATTTATGAACTCATTTTTCTCCCTCATGTTATGAAAGAAGTTTTTATAATTTATATCACAAAGGAAAATAAAAATATGCAATTAAATAGCGGAATAGTGAGTGACGGTCAATAAACACAACAACTGATATTAGTGCTTAAAATTTAGCGAATCAATAAAGCTCTTTGATTCTAATTGTATAAAAATGAACGCGCTTAAATAAATAATGAACAATTCTAGCTTGTTAATTACAATCATTGAAGAGGGAAACGTAACAGAAAGCAACGAAGAAAAAAATGTCATGTCGTCGCTGAAAGAAAAAAGGAAAATGGCGCTTGAAATGTGACATGAACTTGACAAAATGACATTTTTATTTTGCTGTATACGCTACCACATCTCTCACTCCTCGAGCCTTTCTTGATTTGATAATTTATGCACCCTAAACTAGAATCAACATCACTACAAACCCTCCGAAAACTAAATGGTACGTTATTAATGCCTCGAATGTTGCCGAAAGCCACTCATATCGAAGCATTATTAAAACACATTGCATTGTTCGGGTGATGTAAACGAAATGTGTTTTCTGCAATGATTCTGAAAGGGAATGAGAGAAATTTAATTGAAATATGAAACGTGTACATTATCTTCTCGAGTTGAGCGTTGAAACTTTGACTAAATCCTTCGAAAATAATTGATATTTTATTAATAAATGAATTATTTTTGAGGATTTGGAAGAGATATTTCCTTGGGAAAGCGATACGTGAAATGATTTATTAACGAACCCTCCATTAGATACGAAATCTAAGTAAGTATGTACAGTCACCAACGAACATAAATGCAATTTTAACATCAAATAAAACGTCTGGATGAATATCAATATCAATATCATGTCTGTAAAGCCATAGAAAATGAATTTTCCCTTTCATTTTAATCTTATTTTCCGGAAAAATGAATTAAAATGTCGCCTTTCATCATCATTTCTCGTATAGAAAATGGGAAAAAAGAACGTGTCTCGATGAGGGGCAAAGAAAAATCAATTTGATTGAGCAGGAAAAGAATTTAATGAAATGACTAGAATGCTGAATGATGGAATAAAGGGAATGAAAAAGTCGGAGGAATTGCAATTAAGAAATGATGGCAGGGATTTAATCAGAATGGTTGTCGTTATTACGATTAAAGTGGTTTTATCTTTCCTAGAAATAAGTAAAGAAACCTTAAGAATACGACAAATTTTAAAGAAACTTATCTAAACATCAAACTTAAATTTCAAGATTTTTCCAAAGTCAAGATTATTGTTGGGAAAAGTTCTTCTCAGTTTTCCAACTTTGTGAAAATATGCAAACTTTTGTATATTCTGTGTTTGTTGAGTATAGTTAGCCAATAAAGAAAATTCTTCAACGAAACTTTTCCAACTTCTTGCTTCGTAGTGTTAAATCAGACACAGAAAGTATTTTTCCATAAATATTTAAACTTCAACACAATTTTCATGGTGCGGAGGAGTGAGACGAGAAAGGAAAAGCAGAAGAAGTAAAAGTTGAAGAAAAAATTGCTACGAAACTTTTCCTTCTCCATTTGTTTTCCTTTTTTTTTCTTTTCAAGAAAAGAAACACAATCTTGAGTCTTTTACCACCCAAGAAAAGTTGTTCACTCTTTCTTCAACATTCACTGCCTCCACATTTTCTCTGCTCATTTTTTTCACAGCTTGAAGCATTCACTGAAAAAGAAGAATGATTTTCATTTTCTACATCTTGTTATGCGACTCATGTAATTTGAAAAACATCGTAAAAAATGTAATAATAACTTTTTCTTTGTCAGAGAACTTTCCTTTATTTCTTGAGCTACATCGAGAATGAGAGGAGCAGAAAAAAATTTGGCAACGACGACATTATGTAATGAAAAAAAGGAAAAAAATATCCCCTTGAGTGGAAAACAGAAAAAAAATTCGCAGCGTTACAATTATGACTTGGAATCGTGTAAGCGTCCTCAACAAAACTCTAAAAACATTCACAATATTGTTGCGTTGAAACTTTTCCGACAGTCTTCATGAAATTGTCTGTCAACGAGTGCGAACAATTTCCCTCAACTTTTCTTCTCGTTGCTACGGAAACGCCACTTTGGGTGTTAAGCTTCGCCATATTTATATTTGCAAGAGGGTGTCTATACATCAAACACCCTCGCTCGATGTTCTGTATGAAGAAAGAAATGGAAAAAAAGGAAAAATAAATGGTTGATAGCGGTAATGGTATATGTTTGCTTTTGGCGTCGAATCTGAACCTTTTTCCTCATCTTTTAATGTTGTGTGCGAGTTTGTGATACGATGAAAATACTTATCTATTATCATTTGGGACTGTAATGAAAACATTCACTCGACTCTTTATCTTGATCTCGAGGGTGATTTTAATGGACTTGTTATCAGGCTGAATAAAATCTGTTTGAATTTAATAAAATGGAAGTGGATGCTTGATTGAAAATTATTTTGTGAATTTTTTGGAAACTACATATAGCGAGATAAGGGTTGATAATCATTTACATTAAAATTACATATTTTTTAATAGGATTTTAATGCGTCCTTGTTCATTCCAATCATACAATTAATTTCGGGAAATTTTAAACATTTCAAAATCCGCTAAATTTATAAAAGAAAATTTCTCAGAATTAAATAAATCTTAAAATGTATTAACATGTCGAAAAGGAAAAACTTTATTCGACATCGACAAGATTAAACTAAAATTTTGATCTGAACTTTCAACGCAGAAAATATGATCAAAGTGATGGAAGTTTTAAAACAATCGCAAAGATTTTGTATTAGAATAAGCAACAGATACTACTAGGAAATGAGTTAAACATTAAGGAAAGTGATGAATAAATTTCAGTGATTAAGTAGTTAAATATTTCCATTGATTGTAATTTTAAAATAGAAAGGAATCGAATTTTTATAGTTGAATTATCATAATGATTTTTTTAAGAACCACCAGTTGATTTTGACGTTTAATTTCGTGTTGTGTCAGAACTTTTTCAAACTCATCAATGTATTGCAGAATCCTTTCAAAGTTTTCAAATACCTAATTGTCTTTCATCAGATTTATTTTGTTTGAAAAAAACAATAGCACACATCGTTATGAATTTTCCAATTGTACTCTGATTTTACCTCGAACCTAATTCATTGATTTTGTTTTAAACTTTGAACCAATGCATCAATTCTAATGTTAGGTATTGTCTTACATAATTTTTAACAATTAATTTTGCATGTGAAATATAATTTATTAAACTGGATAAATATTA